TACGGAGAGATCGTTCTTGTAGCCGCATTCAATCTGGTCGGAGAAGCCGATCGGTACATCAAGCGTCGCCGCCGGCAGATGCCGATTTGTCATGGATGATGTTGACCTTGAGGTACGCCATGGGATCAGCATGCACACCCCCTACCTAGCGCGCCACTGTCGACCAAATCTGGTCAGCAGTCTACCAAGGGGTATACCCATGGTAGTAGATGAATCGATGGAGGTGCGCGTGATACGAACCAGATGGTAACAGAGACACAAGACACAAGATTTATACAGGTTTAGGCCGTCAGCTTGACGTAATACCCTACATCCTCTGCTCTGTTATTTTGTATTGATTGTGTATCAAATTCGATATATCTCGTCTAGGGGATCCCTGCCTCTCCTTATATACTTTGGAGGGGTAGGGTTACAAGAAAAATATCCTATTTGGTATTATACAATAAATCACGTCTTCATGTAGTCTTGCGGTGCATGCCTTGATCTTGTGGGCTGGACCATCTTTGGGGCGCAACCCATGTCTTGTCTTATGGATACTAGGGGGTATATCCCCCACACTAACCCTAGACGCGGCCCAACCCTGATGGCCTAACCACTACCACCGATAGTGGCACCGGGCGCCACCCCGGTGCCGACGCCTCCCGTCCCCTCCCCCTCCCCCTCCCCCCCTACCTACCACCGACAACACCGGTTGGCCGCTCGAGATCATGAGCTGCCCGCATCGCCACTAACACCGGGTGCCACCGTCGCGTCCGCCACCACGGCTGTGCTAGAGTTAGTCGACGCGTCCCAGCTGCGCCCGTATGCGACAGCCAAGCCCCCTCCCACCGACGGGTGGCTCTCCTCACATCTCCTTCATCCACCTCCTCCATGGGCCACGTTAGGCCAATCCTCCAATGCCGCCACCACGCCTCCGCCTCAGCCTTCACCGGCGCCGACCGTGGATACACCATGGCCATGCGTGGGGGCCAGCTCCGGTAACTCACCTCCATCACCTATGCCGGTCGCCACGTAGCACGTGGGCCCCTCCATCGGTGACTATAGGATTACGGAGACGATCGACGTTACCTCGATCACCTCGTCCACCGGTGCCCCACTACCATCCCCCTCCATGCGGGCGATTCGGTGACCGTCGGTGACTGCAACAGGGGAGGCCACTGCGAGGCAGCAGTCATTGCTGCCACCGCTCGCGAACGCGTCGGTGGTCCACACGCCTAGCTCGAGGCAGTCTAATCTAGCAGCAGGGATCGACATCTTCCTCGTCTACCCTTCCGCCCGGTCAGTCCAGTGCCCGCCCCTGCAGCATCTAACGCGGTGGAAGTTCAGCAGGCCTGGATATAAGGACGCCCAGCCTGCAGATGGGGGAACACCCCCTACTGCATCCGCCTCCAAGTACTCCGGCTTGTTGTCGGTCACGGGGAGCCCAGTGAGCGACGGCCCTGCCGCAAGTTTGCCGTCCAAGCTCTCCCCTTCACCCAGCCCTTCACCAAGCAGAAACACCTGAGGGGACGCTCCAAGGTTCGTCGTTGGGCTGAGGATGACCTCCTTGAGGCCTTTGATGTGGAGCAGGCACCGACCGCCTCCCAAGCCCAATACCTCAACATGCCCACCCCTATAGCATCCGACGTGGTGGACATTCGGCGGGCCTGGATCTGAGGACACCCAGCCCATAGATAAGGGAACATCCCCTGCTGCGTCCGCCTCCAGTTGCTCCGGCTCGCTGTCGGTCATGGGGAGCCCGATGAGCGATGGCCCCGCTGCAAGTTCGTCGTCCAACCTCTCCCCTTTGCCTAACCCTTCAGCCCGCAGGAACGCCCAAGGGGATGCTCCAAGGTTCATCGTTGGGCTGAGGATGACCTCCTTAGGCCTCTGAGTGGAGCAGGCACCGACCACCTCTCAAGCCCAATACCTCAACTCGGCTCGGCGGGGCCAGCAACGGCTAAGGATGCCCCGCTGGCTGAGGGAGCCTGGCCAACCAACATCACCGATGGGGTGCACAGCTGCTGGTGCCGACACCGTGAGCGGGCAACACAACAACAAGCATTGTCGCCCGTGTCTGCGGCACATCCATGAGCTTCTAGTCCGAGGTAGGGACGTCGACAACGGAACCGGCCAGGGTTCCCGCAGTCGCGCGCAGCATCGGTTGGCCCATCTGAGGCTCGGACCGTAGCTTGCTTGCGACGCCCGGCAACGCTTCTCCTCTCCAGATGCTAGCGGTTGGCGCAAGGTCCTTTCACGTGGACCATTAGGAGGCCACGACGATTCCCCGCCATAGCGTCCGATGCCCCGTTTTCCACCAGAGCTGGGTAGGAAATGCCTCAAATGCCTCTCCTCATCGCACAGGGTGGCGACATGCAGGCTGCCTTAGCGCTACCTGCGTTGCAATGGCTTCCACCATCATGCGTGCTACTGCAAGCTGCTATGGGCGGCGGGTTTGGCAAGGACCATCGTTCCTACCGACCTGACTACGTCCAACGTCGAAGCACTAGACGTGCTCTTCCCGGACGGTGGAAATGGCTCGTCCAGGCAGTCATGAAGGCATAAGGCCACCTCCTAGGTCTCACGCTGCGTCGGTTTTTGTTGTTTTCCATGTACGTAATATTGAAATTCGAGGTCTTTTGCTAGGATGGTCCAACTATGGCTATTTTAGGTCGACCTCCTTCGGCGCTCGATAGAGTTGTGTTGTTAAACTCTTCTCCTTAATACAATGATACGCAAATCTTTTGCGTATTCGAGAAAAAGAAATATCTACAGCCAAGGTGGTGGCCGTCGAGTTTGTCTGACACACAAAAGAGGAGATTGCAACGAATGCTTAATGAATGATTAATGGTGTGACAAGTTTTATTTTCAACGCGAGGTCGAACCCATTTTCATTCATATGATAGAACGGAAATACATGAGTCTGAAGATTACAGATAAGCGAAGAAAGCAAAGATTTCTAGCAGCCCTATACTCTGTCTCATAGCTAAAAGGATAATAGACTGAAGAAAAGGTAGAGAGGCAGATTGCCCAGTTAACAGAGCAACTAAAGCAACTTCATTACAGGTTCATCACAAAAGAAAGCCATCCAGCGGCAAATGACGATAATAGTTTGACAACAATTCACATAAAATGCTTCTTTTCTGACGGTCCACGTGATGGACTCCATCTTCTCCACCTCAGGGGTTGGGGGTCTCATCATCTTGGTGATCCTCAATATTCAGGCGCTTCTGAATGCCATCAGCTGAGTTCTGAGAGATGAAAATATTTGTAGCCACCCTAAGCATAGTATTGACGCCGTCGATGAGCATCTCCCTATCCATTTCAGGGTACAAACCTGTCTAAAAACGCATTAGAGTTCCAAAATGACAGAAAATATCAATAGGGTTCCTGATGACCTTCCCATCAAAACAGGCTCTGTTACGAGCCTTCCAGATTGACCAGCATATAGCTGACACCCCCCACAAGTGATATTTCTTGCCGTGGGGCAACCAGTGATCACACCAAGCCCAACACTGAGACAGGGAATTTGGAATATTACTTGCACCAATGCTTCTAGCAACTGCTGCCCAGATGGCAGGTAAAGAAGAGATGATCACAGGATTCATCAAGATTGTAGAACTGGCAACTAGGACTTCCATTCCATTTTCTCTTGATAAGATTGTCTTTGGTCAACACAGCATTATTAGTCATTAACCACATGAAGTATTTAATTTTAGGACGAACTTTTCCCTTCCAAATTCTCTTATGATCAGGGCCAGCATCACTTTTTGTTAATGCATTGTAACATGATTTAACAAAAAATTTCCCATTCTTCCCAAATTTCCAAAAGATTCTATCAGCATCATTGTGTAATTGGAAATTGCAGGTGTGACAAGTGAGAATGATTCTGGCAAAGTCTACATTTTCTAAGCGAGTTGTCCTCTTCTAGAAGATTATTCTTTTCTAGCATACAACCTTTACAAAAAGACGCTACGTTTGTACCCAACATTTGCCGAGCTTATTCTGGGAAACCATCTTAACCGGTTTCCCAAACTGGCCAGGTTAATTTGGGAATCTCTCAAATTTGTAAATTTGACTTCACCATCGTGTTCCCCTTGTCAAGATAATAAAAGTTAGAAAGCCAAATTTGATGTTTGGAGGCATTTCTAGGTTTTTGCATCGAATCTGTCGAAACCGGCTAAGCAGATTTAGGAAACCTGACTTTGCTGCGAATTGACCCCTGAGCAGTCCAAAAGATTCTCATGCAATTTGAGTGTATTAATTCGTTGGGTGTGGGGCTAGATTTAGGACACAGTTATGCTGGACCAGTCATGCGCCCCTGACTCTCTTCTCCCTTCCCGCGCTCGTTCTCGACCCCACCCACCTCCTCGTCCTCACCCCCGCCGCCGCCCACTGGCCCGTCGTGGCGCGCTAGGGTTCGCTGGAGCTCCATGACTACAGAGCTCCGACGAACACTAGTACGGCTGCAGCGGCCGTCTTCTTCCCCTCCCCCTTCCTGTCATGGCAAGCTTCGCCCCGAGCGCCCCGTCCCACCCAGGCCTGGCCACCTCCACCGTCGCTAGGACCCCTAAACCGCCCGACCGCCGTCCCGACCACTGGGCGGCCTGCCTCCCCTGGAACCCCTTCTAAGCCCATCAAAGATAGAGAAGAAGAGAGGGCGCTGAACTCTAACGCTGGCAAGCTCGCTGGAACCCTAGGCGCCTTCTTCCCCAACTTCGACGCAGGCACCGGTGTGGGTGCGCGCGGGTGCAGACACGAGTGCGGGCATGTGAGAGGGAGAGGGAGAGGTGGGCCGGCCCGCGTTGCAATAGAGTTTGCGCTAGATTTACTTCAACAACACCAAGGACAACAGTTACACGAACAAGGGGCCCAAGTTTTTCAGTGTTCTACTAAACCAATTCAACTTCCAGCAGGCCCATTACACTTGTACACACGACTCCAAGATCCTTCCCATCACTCATTATTATTACATTCCAAGTGCCCATGGCTCTTGAATAAAAAAAAAAGTGCCCATGGCTCTAGCGACACAGACGCAGCTCCAGATCCAAGCCGTCTGCATCGTTGCCCTCCTCACCACTTTGATCACCACCATCCATCGCCACCACAGGCCTCTTGCCATGGCGCCCGTCTTCAAGTAAAGGCATCAACTGCCTCTTGTCTCCACGACTATCACCGCCACCGCCGGAGCCAAGCCGAAGTGTCAAATCAGCTTGCGCGGACCCCGGCTGATTCGCCGGGTAAGCATGGCGGGGGCTTGCCACAACAAGCGTGACCACGTGGCATGGCCACGACATGACAGTGTACGAATGAAGCACCGGACCGCAGATAAGCTGCGCCTGTGGTGGTGCCTGGATTTGGTGCTGCGCCATCGTCCAGAATGGCATGCTTGGACTCGGCAGTGCGAGGCAGGACGGCACCCTCATCATCACCTGGTTAGTCAAGGGGTGAATAAATGGAAAGGAAGCGGGGTAAGGTACAACAGCCACCGGCATACGGCTGGTGGTGCTCTGGCCCTGCGCTGCCGGCAGGCCGTGGTGACCGAAGCTTTCGTTGCCCATGGGATTCTGGCTGCTGCGAGTGTGGGTGCTGCAGTGTCCTGCCATGGCTTGTTTGGGTGGATGCGTATGTAGGAACAGGAGTCTTTATAGCCGGAGGAAGGAGAAAGGAGGGTGGGGTTAGTCAGCTGTATGATGTCACGGTGTTGTACTATGCAACAGCCGTGTCTCGGAGGCTTAGGTGCGGGTACGCGTGAGGGTTCGCTATGAACCCAGTAACTTATTATGTGTCTCCTTGTATCTCACTTTTCGGCCAAACATCCGTTTCTACTCCTTTTTCCGGGCTGTGACGTAGTCCATTTCGCTGAAGCATATCCAGACTACAAACTTCGTATTTTGAAGTTTTGAACACAAGTGAAGTTACAACTAAAATGGATAGCTGTGTACAAAATAGAAGTCAACATGTTCCGTTCCAAACTGTAGTCGTTTTATTATTTGGCTCTTTTTAAATACATAGTTTTTATTATGTATGTAGATATATATTAGTGTATATATATTTACGTAAAAGTTACGTATTTAGAAAAGTCAAAATAAATTACAATTTTAGAACACAGGAGTAGTAAGCAATAACGTGTTTTTGTTGTCATAAATGTCAAGAGAATTTCGAAATTAGACAACACAAGTAGAATGTATCAATCCTCTAAGCGATATATTAGGTAGTGATCCTAGACACTTAACTAAATGGGCATATGTGTAACTTAGATGTGCATCCATTAAACTAAGTGTTGATGATAAAGATCGGTCACAAACCACAAGTACTAAAACGCAGGGTCACAAATGGACCGAGGCGGCGTGACTGTGTAGAAACTGGCCTAGACGGTTCAGGGAGTCGGGCTGGCCAGTTCTCAAGAGTTGAGCCCGAGAAAGCCCTGGGTCAGCAAGGATTACATTTACATGGTGAAGAAGAGAGGTTTGCGAGCAAACCACAGAAAGGTAATCAGTCGTGATTGCGTGACGAAGAACGGCTGGCTTCTTGGCAACAAGGAACCCTTGAAGCTCTCGCCCGGGAGGGACATAGTCGGGGCAAGGATGGCCCTGTTCGTTTGTCTTATGTGTCGTACTGTTTCAGCGAAGGAATATTGTTTTCTCTCTCACAACAAATCAGTGAACAGTACTTTCATTCATGGCTTTTCAGCAAAGCAAACATGGCTAGATGTCGCCTAATTGCCCAAGAAGCCTAGGGTGCCATCCTTGATCGTCGGATCAAGCGATGAACAGCAGTATGGAGGTTAGAATAGATTAGGGCATACCGGCATAGAGAAATAAAAGTAAATTGTATTTGGTTAGACTGTGTGTTGGGCACCTCAATCAGTCGTGCCCTTATCTATATAACCTATATAGATGAAGGCCACTAGCGATGATCGACTGCTATAAAGCTACAACCACAGTGATCCACGTCATCTGAAATCTAGACCATTGGATCATCTCCGTTTTGCACCATCCATCGTCCAAATCATCGCGTCGGCCAGCACACCAACAGGCAGCTTCCACCCATCCGTCCCTTCGATCACCGTGTCCCTCTCCATCTCTGAAACCGATAGATGTCCACCAAGAGACCATTCCCAACCTCCTCATTAATTTACTCCAGAGATACAGATGAGAGGAGTTGCTTGATGCATGTGTATTCAGTTTAATTTAATTCTATTATAATTTATTTCAACAGATATGGTTTAAGATGGATACATGTGCACCCATAACAGGCAAGAAGATGTGCTGAACCCAACCAGCTGCCGAGGATAAAGGCGTACCTGGCGAGCTTCCACACGGCGACGCCGAGCTCCTGCAGGTTCGTGTGCCCACGGGATAGCGGGACCACAGCGTGTCCAAAAAGACGGAGGCCAACGACAACCTGCTGGGCCCGGACAGCATGGCAGAGGTCCTCATCGACAGCTTCAAGAAGAAGAATCTGAGCATCGAGGACATAGTGGTGTTGTGCAGCTCCCACACCATCGGCCACTCCCACTGCGCCTCCTTCCTGGTCACAAACCGGCAGCGGCTGGCGAACGAGACCATCAGCCTGGCGTACCAGGCGCTGCTGGAGGCGCTGTGCTCGCCCAACCCGGTCCAGCTCGCCCCCAACACCACGGAGATCGATGTGAGCATGTCAACGGTGCTGGACAACAACTACTATAAACTGCCGCCGCTCAACCTGGGCCTGCACTTCTCCGACGGCCAACTCATCTTGCAATGGCACGCTCGTGCCGTTCACCAACGCCTTTGCCCGCCCGCACGATTCCCACAGCCTCATGTGATGTGGTGCCGGTCCATCCATAGGCAGAGCCACCACTAGGGTGAGATAGGGCGGCCGCCCTAGGTCCCCTTGGCCGGGCACCATAACCCCATCCCTGGAGTTCGCCGGAGTTCGAGCCGAAGGGCGAAGACGGCGGCGCGCGGCGCTGTTTTTTCTTCCGCGAGGCAGAGGACAGACGCAGAGAAGAGAAGAGACGTCATGGCCTCATGGGCCGCGGCACTCACATTGGCCCAGCCTAGGCCCAGCAACAGGCGACTAGTTAGGGTTCACCGCTCGGTCACCAACTCGCCTCCCTGCGCTTCCTGTTTGCGCGAGCGCAACTCCCCACTGCGGCTGCGCTGACCCGCTCGTCACCTCCGGCCTCTGCCCTCCAGTCTCGCCATGCGCTTCCTCATTGCCGCAGCACGCAGCACGCCCGCTCCGGCCGCCGGCGGATCTAGCCTGTCTCCCCGGCCGAGGATGCAACCCCGCCCCAGCCATTGCCCGGCGCCGGGCAGCAGCCATGTCCCAGGTGGCCGCCGCTCAGGCCCCAGCCGTCCGACCCTCAGCCCCGGTCGGGCCTGATTTGGTCTGTGAATTTTAGGATTTTGGTCATTTGGATTTTGGATTTTTGGTGATGGATGGGGGAGCAGATCAAACGGTTGTGGATGGGGAGGAGATGAAGCTGGAGATGTGGTTAGCTCAAAATTGACAGGTTTTGTACTTAATTTCTCTATTGAAACATACATGTTGTCCGTGATAGCCAAAATTTTATAGTACAAGTTCACTCTAAGTCATTTCTCGGGCTGAATTTGCCACTGCTGTAAACGCCAGCGCGTCGCCCCTCGGGGCTCGGCCCCTCCTTCGTAGTGCCGGCCCTAGGGGGGGGGAGGTGCGATGGCCGGGGGCCCAGACAGGATGGGGGCCCAAGCCTAAGTATATAAGCCCAAATATATAGTGTCAAAAAAACGAAGCCCAAGATAGACTTGCAAGTTGCAACGTTGCAGAGGCATCAGGTATGTCTGCAGACTGCAGGCCCGTTGGCCTCTTTTCAGCAGGAGGCCAGGAGCCGCCGGCCTCTCTGTCTTTCTGCCCTTTTTGTGATCACGCGCTTAGGAAGACTTCCGCCGGCACCCATTGAGCCGCTCAGACTTCCGGTCTTCCCAGACACTCCGCAAACGACGAGACGCAGCCCCACAGACAAACAGCGAGACGCAGCGAGCGAGCGATCACCACGCGACAAGGCAGCCGAGGGCCCGAGGCAGGGCTCGACGAGGACGACGAGTTGACGACATCTAAAGATTTATCTCGGTTATTGCCTTATGCCCTTTCTGTGATCTGTGAATCTTGGTTCTGAATTAGTTCATGTCTATATTGTCTAGGTCCTAGGGTTTTTTTCCTTTTTTAAATTTTGTCTAGCACTGTGTACGCATATAGTCATGTTTTTCTTGTAATTTAGGTCAGGTGTAAGAATTTTAGAATGTTACCTAAGAAACATTTGTGAGGGGCTGCGAAAAGAAAACGGAAAAGACAAGAAGAACAATTTATTCAGTCATAACAAGGTGCTTTAGATAAGTTTTTTTCAGCTTCAAGTAGTGTTGTGCGTGATGACAACCCTATAGATGCACCTAATAATCAAGAAGAAAAGCAACAACAAGTTAATGATAATTTAAGTGAACAAGTTGATGCTATAGAGAATAAAAATTTACAGCCTTCTTCTCAACCTGAAAATTCAATTGATGATGTGCAACCTTCTATTCATGATGTCTTTGATCCCAGAACTTAGGAGAATATTGATAATAAGGGTAGAGATATTTTGATTGAAAAAGGACTAGTGAGAGAATTGAATCTTGAGTTCCCTGTAGATGCTCACAATAGACATTTTTCATATGCTTACTACTCCAGAAAGTTAAGCAATGGTGAGGTGGTTGATAGAAAATGGTTGGTTTACTCTAAACATGTGGACAAAGTTTTTTGTTTTTGCTGCAAATTGTTCAAATCAGATCAGAACAAAAGTTTGGTAGCACACGATGGACTGAGGGACCGGAAACATCTCAGTTTAAGACTCAAAGAACATGAGAATAGTGTTGAGCATATAAGAAACATGAATACTTGAATGAACTTAGGCTGAGGTTGAGCAAAAATAAAACAATTGATGATGAGTTGCAACGAGAAATTGCAAAGGAGAGAGCGCGTTGGAGACAAGTTTTTAGTAAGAATCATTTCTGCTGTCAAGTTTCTTGCTAAACATAATTTAGCTTTCCGAGGGCAAAATGAGAAACTATATCAAGCTAATAATGGTAACTTTCTGGGCACAATTGAAATGATGTGTGAATTTGATCCTGTGATGCAAGACCATATTAGGCGGATTCAAAATAGTGAGATTCATCATCATTACCTTGGGCATAAAATTCAGAATGAGATGATTTCTCTTCTTGTAGATTGTGTAAAACAAACTATATTAAAGATCATTAAGGATGCCAAGTATTTTTCTGTGAGTTTAGATTGTACTCCAGATGTGAGCCAGGAACAACAAATGAATCTAATTATTAGGTGTGTGAATATATCGGGGAATGTTCCAAGGGTAGAGGAGTTCTTTCTAGAGTTTTTGAAGGTTGATGACACATCAGGATTGGATCTTTTTAATGAATTAAAGAGTGCATTGGCCTCTCTTGGTTTGAATATTGATGATGTGAGGTGTCAAGGGTATGATAATGGTTCAAATATGAAGGGGAAACACCAAGGTGTTCAAACGTGCTTGCTTGAAATTAATCCAAGAGCACTATATATGCCATGTGCATGTCATAGTCTGAATCTT